TTTAAATCGGGATGTTCCAATAGCAGCATTGGCTAGAACAATTATAATATAATAGTAACTCAAAATCTCCTACCACTCCAGAATGCAGCTGTAGTCATCCAGAATGCATCCTTCAGTTTTGGAGAGTTCATTCATGGACAATAAAAGTCTTAGATTTGTTGAGTGCTAGTCTTCTGCCTTGGTCATCCAGATGTCATTTTTAGTTTAATCACAGAGAGTATACTGAAATGAAGCAGCTTATTATTTACTCCTGCCAGGAAGAACATACTGCGTAAACACACTTTACAAGACAGGATGTAGCTATGGTTACCTGTATTTGGTGTTCTCAAGTTACACAAAATATCTCTAATACATCAACAAAAAAAGTCTAATTACTTCAAAGCTAAATCTCCAATGCAAAGCTATGTATTTCACTCATTGAAGACATAGTAAATGTTACTAACGCATTTCTAAGTCAAAGTAGCAGATTTAGCTGCTGAAAGACACAAAAGTGACTGAGCAAGGTCTTGGATCGACCTTAGAAATCTTTTATTGATGTGTATCTGCAGAAACACCACCTACATCATAGAATCATAGAATGTTTTGGGTTGGAAGGGACCCCTAGAGGTCATCTAGTCCAACGCCCCTGCAGTAAGCAGGGACACCTTTAACTAGATCAAGTTGCTCAGAGCCCCATCCAACCTGGCCTTGAATGTTTCATCATCATACACATTGCCAGCTTACTTGAACAAATGACTGAGCTCTCGCTGTGACACTGCTCCAAAATAAACCAAAAGAAAGGTCCATTCAGGATCTTTCTTCTGTTGGCACTAACTTATCAGCCAAAAGTGCAAGAAACTTTGTAGTGAAAGGACCTAAAATTTTCCCTGGAAAGCTTTATAAATTCCCATCTTCTGTGCTACGGAGATTTAAAGTCCAGTCAAATCTTAATAATATTACTAATACTCTGGATCTTCCAGTTGCCAATACATACATACATCTCTTCCAGGGGTTATTCCACTTCTAATGGCTTCAGAGACTTTAATATATGGGAAGAAAAATCCTTTAAAGTAGTTTACATTTTCTTTAATTTAATAAATAATCTTTTTTTCTCCCATCCTTTCTAAATTCTCTCTCATTTCTCTCATCCCTCCAGATTTTTTAAGAAGACCAGGAACATTTTTATGAGATGCCATTTATTCCAACAAACTGTCTTGCATGTGTGGCATGGGACCATCCATATCAGTTGCTTTAAAAGATTTATGGTAAGGTACTGATTTGATGTGTGTTAGTTCTGGCATTTCAAAAAACAGGAATAGCTTAGTAATAATTTTATAAATTAGAATAAATACTTCTTTGCACAAACTCGTTCCCAAGTCCAGAAAGCTCTAAAGAAATCTATTCAGCCAAATGGTGCCTTAGCCTTCCCTCCCATCCTGTAAGAAAGAAATGGGGTTTACAGTGCAAGACTTCTAATCTGCTTTGAAGTTACTTCAGATTAATGCCGTTACAGAACAGTGGACCTCCCCAAGAGAGGCAGGAGCTGTCTTTTTTCTAATCAATACAACCCCATGCTCTTTCTTGCAGGATCATGCCTAATCCAAATGCATTCTCACAGGCAAAACATTAGAAGAGTTAATCTAGGCATTACATCATCTTCATAAAATCAACAGGCAACTTCCCCACAAAAATTATCTTTATTTTAAAAGAAACTGAAACCAGACAACAGAAAGCAACAAACTTACATACAGTGCTGGACAAAATATACCATACACATTTTCCAAGAACGCTTGAATCAGATTCTGATGTATGTTCTTCTAAAAGGTAAAATATCACATCATTATTAACAAAAAAATTAAATGTCAACAATCTTAATCAGCTTATATTTTGCACTGTTTGGATGGCAGTAGATTGGTAACTTGCCTTTTTTAACTCATCTTTAACACTGAAAGGAGAATGTAGACAAAAAAATTCCAAGTCAGAAGGCCCTGAAGAACACAGTGTCTGCTCTAAAGGCCATATACAAAAGCTTGGACGAGAGACTGTCTTTTAAGTAAAAATCCCTCAACAACTCTGTATCATTTCACATTTCAGAAAAAACTATCAAGAAAGACAAAAAAAAGGAATAAATATATTAAAAGCTTGCCCTCCTTAAGTTATATGGAAGTTCAGATTTAGACCATCCTTTAGAGGATGAGATGAGGGTCTAGGAATAGACACACCTCCCATGACTCCAATCCCAAACTGTCTCCAATACAGCAATTCCTGAATTACAGTACGCAAACCTCTGAGTAAAAAGGTGGGGTTGGATCAAAAATTATTTTGAGACAGTTTGTTTGAACATGAAAACAAAAATTAATCTGGCAAACAATACAAAAATAGGTATTCCCTGTGATGTTGGGATAAGCCATTTCTGAACCAGGAAACTAAGGGTGACATTGAATACTTTAAGTTATAGGCAGCATCTCTAAGGGGCTGACCAAAATTCAGAATTTATTACCTCAGAACTGATGACACACAACACTAGGGCACTAAAGGGACCCTTTATTTCCATATAAAGCATAAGCCAACAAGAAATCGGAGGAGTTCCATATGAAGAAGTGAATGTGCATAACTCAAGACGTAGTGTATGATCGTTGTATTGCCTTAAGAGTTCTGCTAAGTACACTTAATTTTCCAATTTTAAGGAAGAGTCTATTCTAATATAGAAGGCTTCAGACAAAACTCAGTAATTGCAGAGTAACTTTAAAATACATCCAGTTCTACATCCTCCTGCATATATCTAATCACATCCAATAGATAAAAAAATTACATGTTTTGTAAACCAAGTAAAGAGTGTTAGAGTAGAATTTTCACACCCATGAGCTTATTACCAAATGTTCACCCATTTGTCTGTGGATAATATTAAGAAATTCACACTAACAGTTATGGCAACAAGATGACAATGCACCTAAGTGCTGCGTGTTCCGAAAGGTAGTCAGTTTTAATTACCATGAATTGCTACCATCTATCATACCTCATTCTGTGCAAGATACCACGCCAGCTACCAATCCATAAACAATAATGTTTCACATACTTCATAGAGTAGCTTAAAACACATCGTGATATGAAATAATTTGTATTACATAGTAATTTAATCCCTGACCACAGGGTTAATGTTGGACAAAGTCTGGAAACTTTTTTCCAATTTGAATTACATACATTAACTTTGTCACACACCACAGCACTAATGCATGTATTACTTCAGACATGCTCTAATTTAAAATTGAAACAAAAAAGTTGTTGCAAAAATACATGTCACCAATGTGGAACACATTCAAGATTGTATAAAAAGTACTGAACTGATATCCCAAAACAGGTATATTTAAGCAGTACATAAGGAAAGATTAGTTTTAATATGAAACAGTCATTTAAGTCACATACAACATGATAAGCATGACTTCCTTTTTGAAAAATGTTACACCAATACTTTTACTGCCAGGCAATGTTTATTTATAAAATGAAGGGGATATATTTAATGCAGATGTGTTATTATATTAAGCTGGAATAAAGACAAATGTTGAAGAGGTGCTACATTTAAACACCATTGATTTTGTAAAAATCTCAAACCATAAAAAGCATTTAACTTGCAAATATCAGCGGCTTGAACTGCAAACACTTTGAAATGTTCTTGACTGTGTGCATGCAGTTCCCCTGCCTTTGTTAATTCTCACATGCTTGAAGTTAAGCCTGAAAAATGTGATTACAAAATTGGTTCTTAGATGAAAAACTTGAGAGGTCACAATGTATATTTTTCTTTGAGCAGCACCCAAAATTATATTTTTGTTTTAAATAGAGAAAACTGTATTACTTTTCTCTAATTTCTTTCATCCGAAGATCTCAAATAACAACCAGGCCTCTAAACACCCTCAGGAAGTAAGCATTAGCCCTATCCGAGAGAAGAGACTGAAGCACAGACAGCCTGCTCGTCTCAAGTTGTAGAAGGGATCAGTAAAACTGCCAGAAAGGGATTTTTGATATCTACCCTCTAGCCTATATGCACCACCATCACTTACCCTGACACCAATACAACAAGTACTTTAAAGAGCAAATTATATATTCTCTCCTTTAAAACTGGTCTCTGGCAAAACCCCTAAGTATTAAGGACAGTTCAATCCAGTTTATACCTATTTATTTCAGCTTAGGGGGAAGAAAGGAAAAAAAAAAAAAAAAAGAAAAGGGAAAGAACATTTTGGGCAATATAGGCTGCATTTCTGACCACAACAAGGAGCTATTTAAAAAGCTCACCCAGGCATTTGCCACAAAAATGTTAAGGTTTGTAAGATTTACAAAATCTTTGCAGTATTTTTGGTGTGCAGCACCAGTACAGTCTAAATCACCAGTAATGAAAGAAGCACATGATAGTTCAATACAAATTGTTTCATGTCAAGTATTACAAAAAACCTCACCTATTCTAATCAACCCTCCCTCCCACCCACCCTTTATAACTAATTCTAATTCTAACTAACTGACATTTTCTTAGTACCTTTCTAACAAAACATGATTGTTGTTTTTCCTGTGCATACTTGAACTACTACTAGTCAATACATGCAAAGAAAAACGAAGTATAACCCTCTCTCTAGATAAAGAGTCCCGGTATGCCAAGAGCGGATCAGTAGGGCAAGCATATTGGCTGGATGACTTTTGGAGATCCTTATCAGTCATATCTCTATGATCAGTGTGATAACAAGTTTGGTTTTGTTGTTCCCTTGTTTTTGTTTGATGTAATTGGCATTTGCTAATGCCTTGAATTTGTAGGTTAATAAATGCAGAAAATTTACTGGGTTCAAACCCAACATAGTACCAGTTTAGAAAAATGGAAATAAATTGTTAGAGTAAGTTTCAACAATACACAATGTAAGGCCTTATAAAATGATACTGCAGTTGATTTTAAGTTTGTAAGAACACTATATTTAAATTCTAATGTCTTGCTAGCTAACATAAAAAAAACCCCACTTGCATAACTTCATGTAGGATTGAGGAAGAGATTAAGAAATACACGGCTATTTTAAACACAATGACTGCTCCAAAATGCTAAAACATTAATTGGACTTCTGAGAACAAATGCCCCAAACATCTTCTCACAACAGAAATGGGGTGTGGGAGTGGGAAAGGTACTGTGAACAGAACACTTGGGTAGCATCATCATTGGAGCTTTTGTTGAATTGTCACTGAGCAAAGTTTGTTATTTCATTGACATTGCTGTAAGTCTGAACCAGCTCCACTAACTTCACAGTGCAAATTGTTGCAGAGATTAAACTGATTCCCAGAGGAACAAATCTACCTAAACAAGGTTTGGTTTAATTTCTACTTTACATACCAAAAGCAAATTCTAACAGTCAGTCAGTCATGAGGAAAACTACTGAAAAATAAACCTAACAAAGGTTGTTGCTTGGTTGGTTTTTCGTTGTTTTTAAATCTCACACCTCTAACAAAACAAGGTTAAGTTTAGCCTCTGTACTAAATAAAGCAAATAGTGATGCAAACAGAAGCCCTGGATCTGCCTTACATTTTCTTTACATCTCCATACAGGAAATCCTCAGGATAGGAATTGAGTCACTCCTTTTTCCTGATGAGAGGCAAGGCAAAAAAGGAGGTCAACACTGCACTTCTCAGGTAAAGGTATATAAAACTTACCACTTTAAAATAAAACAAGGACAGTTCTGTAGACCTGCACGGTATCTTCCAGGTAAGTACCACAGTAGAGCCCATTTAAAATCAAACACAATGGTGAACTAGCACACAGGCCTTAACTTTTCACTCATTAGCATAGCTTACCATAAAAACTACCTGTTTATATAGATGACTATTCTATACAGGCTCCTGCATCACTCATCACCACAGACCTTTATTACGTTAAGGAATGTGACCAGTACCTGTAATGCTTCACATAGGATTTAATTGCCGATTGTGCAAAAACTAGAAGCTTCCAGCACAGAGGTACTACAAGCAGAGTCTGTTATTACAGTGCCACCTTTTATTAAGTTGAAACAACACTTCCCTCTACAGAAACGCGTATTTACAGTTGCGTATGCAACTGTATCACACTGCGAAGGCTGAAGGCTTGATGTTTCCCCACATTAAAAAAAAACAAAGGGGGGATTATTTTTGAGATCAAGAATAAGATCAAATTACCCATATTAAAATAGAATTCTTAACATCACACGAGGCTCTAGTGCCATTCATACTTGTCAGTAGGATAGCAAGTTTAGCAAAGAAGACAAACTTCTGATTACTTGTTCCTGATGTGAGCTAACCTCACCTGATGTGAGAGCTGTATTTTTCTTCACCCTAGATTTCCCACCCCCTCACTGCAAGACTGGCTGAAGCAGTGGTGGGAGTTCAGTTTTAAGACCTTGCTGGCCAAATGATCTTGTAGTTCAGAGCCTGTGCTGAGCACATTTGATTGCTTTCCACCCTTCTTCATGCCAAATGTAAGCTCAGCAGGCTCTCGTTGAAAGCCCTAGAAGATGGGCAGGATTTTCCCTGCACTAGTTCAGTCACAATTCTCAGGCACCACTGAGGTGGGAAACTAGAACCATTAATGAGAAAGGATGAGAAGAGGGGTGCATGATTGCACAACTGTTACAGATGCAGAGACTGTATCCTAATGTATGTGCTTACGATAAATGAATTAAGGTTACATATGCAACCCTAGTTTTGGTATTCCCTAAATTTAAAGCACTGGACTTCATAAACTTGATGAGTTCTTTTCAAATGTAATCATATTTTGTAACTATTTCCAAATATTGCAAGGCCTAGCAAGAGTCCTCAGCAAGTAAGTATTTGCTGAGAAGTCAAAAGAGATCATTGCCTTTTCAGGGAACTACAAATGTGTAAGAGTTAGCATGTTTCACTGTGTTACTAAGCATGAAGTCATTCATTTTTGACTAGTGTGTTAATGCTTTACTTCAAAAATAGGAAAAAGCACATATGAAATCCTCTGTATTTACCCTAAAATAAAAACTATTAGTACTGCACATCGCTCCATGTCATTTCCACTATATTCAAAAAGGATAGCAAAACCATCAGTAATGGACATTCACACCCCACCCCCCACCCCCCCAAAAAAAAAAGTAATGAGTACTTGCAAATATAGTACCATTAAAGCTGAGCACTAAATGCTAGTCTTAGTTAACCCATTAACACTAGCAAATTAGGGGCTATTCATACAGGCACATTTTTGCCTTCAATAAAATTGTCAATGCACATCCTACTTCCGATCAGTGGTCAGTTATGTTTTACAGTTTAATCAGAAACAAAAAATATAACATCCTGTAAAACATTTGCACACATGAAACCAAGATTACAAAAGCTGAGATGGAAGTTTATGAATGAAAGCAGATTAGGGAAAAAAAGATGACAGCAATCAAACACAACTGATTGTCTGCAGAAAGTGAAGTACCCAATTTGTAACCAAATCTTCATAGCAAGTATTTCAACCACCACCACCAATTCATGTTGTTAGCCATCCGTATTCAACGCAGGTGGTCCTGCAGTCTCTCTGGTACGCATTAACTGGACATCTTTGTCAGCCATACAAGTATCACAACCCCACACTGCTGATGCTTCTGCTGTAAGAAGGCCATAAGCTGACTCAGTCATGCCTGTACAGATCCGATGAAACCATTTCTGACAAGAGGCTTCACACAGGATGGCATCCTGGTCATCATTAACTTCATGTGTACAAATTCCACATGGGTAGACGGGTTCAGAGGACGAGTGACCATGACGACTGGGATGAAGGGGTGTTTTGCTGCTCTTTTCAGAGTTGCATCCTTCAGCAGTACCTCGAGGCTGGCGGGACTTACTCTGAGTCCCATTTGAATGACCAGCATTAGTATTATCAGCACTATTAGAATGGCTATTATCCTGATTTACTACATTGTTTCGAGTAACATTTTTTAGGTCACTGTTACCTTGACTCACAATGTCCTCTGTCCTGTGATGATGCTGATGAGCAGCAGTGTTCTGGCTGGATGCTTTGCTTGCACCTTGACTAAAGTCTTGCTTTTGCACTGATGATTTTGTCTGGTTGTACGTGTTTGGTGGAGGAACAAAAGAATGGTTTGACTCTAGCTGAGAATTTGGGAAGTTTGGATTATTTCCAGGACCAAAGTTAGATGGCACATCAGGGTGAGGTATCTGACCAGAATGACCAAAGTTCTCACCAGGATTTGGTCTGAAATGCTGACCAGGCATATTGACATTTTGATTTATCTGACCACTACTATACGGTGGTTGATTCCCAAAACCTGGGTTATCATGTGGACCAAAGCTGAAAGAGTGGGGTCGACTAAAACCCATTCCCACAGGGTTTTGAGGAAGGGGATGTGGTTGGTTTCTGAGGGAGTAAGAACCACCATATGGCGAGGACACTCTGGGCAGCATGTGAGGTGGCATTCTGAAAGTGTTATAGCCTCCAAAGCCAGGATAACCAGGATTACTAAAATATGGATTTCCTGAAGGAAGTGGTTTATAAGACACAGTATTATAGTTGTCATCAAATGGATTTGCAGCTACAAGGTGGTCAGAGCTTGGATTCGGCGGTGGAGCATATTCAGATGGAGGAGGAAATGATGATCCCTAAAAATATTTTAAATACAACATTTAAATTAGTTTTAGCATTTCCCTGCAAGACAGACCAACCAGAAAGGTCCTGGATTAGCAGCACTACTGCTAAAAGAACTGTTCAGCTGTTGTGTAAAGTTCACCCACTGTACCCTGCCAGGCTGTCTGAAATTTCAGTACAGATGCAAGAGAGGAGTTTGGGCTCCAGATAACATGGTGATTTATAGCAATCTCAGTGTTTTAAAAATTGTGCAGTTGCACAACCATGCTTCTGAAAATACTACTTGATGTGTGACTTCTATTTCTTAATCTTTTACATAAGAAAAGTGACAATATAAAAAGCCATGTGTCACTTCAACACATGCACAAAATATTTCCAAATGTTGAAGAACAGATTTGAAGCATTTCCTTGGTTTCATTTTACTGAACATACACCTCTTAAGACACCCCACTTCTATGAGGATATACAAGTCCAGTGTTACTATAACCCTAAAAAAGGTATATAGAATATAGGAGTCCGCATATAGGATTTTTCTATATTCTGTGTACCAGAGGTGTCCCTTTTGAGCATTCAGTGACTGTGGACATTCTGCAAAGCATAGTCAGTAGGTATAAAATACAAGGGTTTCTGGTTACAGAGCATAATCAAGTGTTTAATGGAGCCCAGAGGCTGTTTAAATGTCATCAGAGTAGCTATACAATTGAATTTCATTCTAGGCTAGCCTGTGGGGAACATCTAGCTGGTTCACCCTCACGCTAATCTGTGATCACAGAAAGCATTTCCTCCTAAATACTAATAAACTCAGACTGAACATTTTTTTTTCAAAAAAAAAACTTCTGCTGTGTTGCAAATTTTGAACCTGGTAAGAAAAGATAGCAAACAAATCTGCATGCCCTCTACAGTTACCACCATTCCAGAATACAAGGAAAGCTCCACAAAGAAAGAGGTCTGAAACCCTTAAATTAACTGAGTGTTTCTCAGGGCAGGTTTCACCATGACTACTTTAAAACAAAACAAAAATTAAGAAAACAGATCCACATCTCATGAATCTGGACAGGCCTAACAGAAAGTGATTGTTTGACCTACATAAATAAAATTACTCTCACTGGGCAGTACCAAATTAACAGATACTCTCACTCAAAGCTGAACGAACACACAAAGGAAAATTCTGCACGACAGGTATCTAATTGCTTTAGATGTTTTGTATTCAGGCTTCCTTTTCTGGAAACAGAAACTGTATAGAAATGCCAAATTGCAGGGATTCACTGGAAAGGAGCCGAACCTGCTGCACAGCTTTTGCTTGAAAATCGCTCGAGGACTATGCCAAGAGTTTGGTCAAAGCATTAACAGACTGTACTGATCCACTAGCCCACAAACCTACAGATACAGGAATAAAAGAAAGAAGAAAAGTAGTCTCATGGCAACTACTCATGCTGTACAGATTTCTACCAATGGCTACAAAGTCATTAAAAGAAAGTCCGTCTCAGAATCAAATCCATATGGTAAAATACAAGTTGTTGCAGTCTCACTGCACTCCTCTCTTTATAGGTCTTTGGCAACCTACAGAGATTAAAATAACTTCAGTGAAAATAACTAGTATTATGAAGATTTCAACTTCACAGTACAACTGAAATATTTTGTATGTAGCTGCTACTTGTGAGAACAGACTGATACTCTGAACAACGCATGACAGTCGTACCAGCAAATGACATCTGAGTGCACTGTTTATTAAGAAATCAAAAGAACCAAAGGGAATTTACCTGTGTATTTGCTTTGCGCTTTTTCTTATCAGGGCTTCCAAGTTGTACTCCTGGTCCTCCTAACCCATCCAATCCACTGTCACCACCTACAAAATTTCAATCAGTGCAATACTGCATTAGTTTTCTTACAGACTGTATTTTAAGTTTGCCTCTCTCTGTCATAGCAACAGATACCTTCTACAAATACTGAACTTGCGTTATTTGGTGCCTTACATTGCAAGTCCTTAAGGAGGAAACATCTGGAGGTAGAAGTTAGCATACCTCGTATACAGCCATCTTACTCTATTACCACTTTAATGTCCAATTCATGCTCATTACAGCTGGAATAAACATTTCCATTTATTTTATGTTTATCTGTCCCTTGGTCCTTAACATCTCCACCAGTTGGGAGTATTTCTTGTTTGCATAATGCATAAAACTTTCCAAAGAACTGCTTAAAACCATGCCCAAGATTCACCTCCAATTTAACTTACACAGACACAGCATTTATCAAACAGTACGTTACAATATGCCATGAAGGAAAAAGCAAACAGTAGTAGATCCATGAATGAAAACCACTGAAAACCTACCATGTTGTTTAGACAGATCTAAATTTCGCTAAATGCAGGACTTGATGAAATAAAAAGACACCTGCCAAAAATGAGAGCGCCACTAAGTGAACCTGCCCATTCTGCAGAAACCTCATAGAATAACTGAGTATGGCAAAAAAAGAAGTAAATAACGTTCATTTTATTGATCACTCAACCAGACTTGACTCTGAGCAATACAAAGAGATATCTGTACTTCACCTGGGATTCTTCTTCACCTCTCGTAACAGTGGGACAAGCTCTCAAAGTTGTATAAATCATGGCTTTCATTTTCAGAACTCTAGTTAGACCACAGACAAAAAAAAAAAAAAAAAAAAAAAAAGATTCTAGCACATTGCTTGTTATCCCAGACGGTCTGCCTTCACGGGGCTCAAGTGGATTTGCCATCATATGGGAATGCAAAGAAAACCCTGAGCTGAAGTATGGAAATCACTTTCAGGGGATATGAGAGCAACATATGTTAACACTACATTAAGAAACTGTGTGTTAATTCTTCTTTCCCAGGCCCATCAAGATAATAGCTTATTTACTCTTTAAAATATATATAGTAACAGTATAGAACAGTAAGAAGTGGTCAATTCAACCTAAAAATGTTACTGTTGTTTAAAACTCATATTCAGAATACAAGTCAAACTTTATCAAGATGCAGGCATACTGCTGAACACACAGGTTTGTCTTTATTACCAAAGGCAACCTGAAGATAACTGTGAATTATCAATAGTATTATGCAAAGAAGCATAATGCATGACATTACACCACTCTACGTTAGACAAGTATTCCCAGCAGACAGCTAAACTAGCTTTAGGACTATTCAGTAAAGTAATACAAAATCTCTTCTCACAGGGAAGAAGTAGACCTACTGTATACAGGCTGAAATACCCAACAGTTATTTCAAATACTCCCAATTAAAGGAGACTTGAAAAATTTTCACTCCTAGCACTTCTTCCTCCCCTCCTCCTTTTTTGAGGTTTCAGGGAATTTACCAGTCCTACTTCAAGTGAGAATCCAGTTTTGCCTCTGCTTTAATACGGTCTTTTTGGTTTTGGCTGTCACTGTTGAAATTTAATTTCATTTTTCATTATACATGAGGAAGATACTTGGGCATCCCAAATCAACACCTATCAAATTTTAAGTCTGAATTTCAAAGGGCATGAAATCACAATCGTGTTCTCAAAATAAACTATGCTTGAGCATAGCATATCGCAGTATAACCTACCATCAGAGTAACTAGGGATTATTCTTTAAAAAGAGAGTCCTTTTTGCCTTGATTTAGAATATAAAATCCTGCATACACTTAGCATGCCATGAAGCACTGCCACTGCATTAACTGTGGATAATACTCACAAGCATAAAGTTTTACATATAGAATGATGACAGATCTCCCTTGAATTCCAACTCCATAAATCATCTTCTTGATAAACTGTTTGCTCAAAACTGCCCCTGCACTTCCATTAGTATCTTCTCCAGCATTCCTACGCATTTATCGTAAATTCAAGCGGAGATTGTACTGTGAACACCATTCCACACAACTGCATAAAATACATTCCTGTTCATGGTTCTGGACTCTTAATACATAAATGACGTTAACCACTAACAGCAGAATGCTACAAATATCCAGCCGCCTTCTAATAAATTCAGCAACTAATAGCACAGATACTAGTAAATCTGTGATCAAGTAGAATACTGAGCAAACGCTGTTTTACAGTGGCCTAAGTTAAAATTTTATAAAATTATGTATAAAATCCCTCTCTGGGATATCATTCTTCAAAAATATAAGCATATGAATGTTAGAATTCCAGTGACATGTTCCACCAATTTCTACATGAATCACTTACATGAGTGAAGCCATTCATATAGCCTACATTTGCAGAACTGAGTCCTATGGCTGGAAAGGTACAAAGCTTTTGTATTTGCAGTTCTCGCTGTGTGAGGCCAATGATTTAATTTAGCCCTAAGAATTTATATTTTCCCTGTGGATTTTATAATGATTTAATTTATACATGAAAGGAAACAGAATGTTAGTCCTAGCATACCTCCAAAAAAAGAGTGAATAAGGGTCATTTTCTTGCAGCCAAAATAAACTTTCCAGACAGTCACTTTTGGTACCTACCACACAGACTTTCATTAAAGGGTGTACCAAGCATTCTGGAACATTGCACTAAGGGTGCAAAAAAATCATTTCGTCATCTGAGACTAATTTTTCAGGACAAAATACAATCCTTTTGACTGGGACATCATATATGTAATGGATCTAGAGATATAAATACATACCTGATAACTATTCCGTTAGCAGATAACGGACAAAAATGTATTTCAGCCACTTACATTTGGGAAAAGGAGAAGAGATAAGTCCCGTATTCTTTTTTTCCTTCATGCACACAGAAGATAGACATTTTCAATGTTAGTCAGGACAACCACAACTTGTAGTTTTGTTTACACATAAGAGATGATGACTTTGCATGTAATTTATGCCGTTCTTAACACATTGCAAATACACTACGGAGTATTTTCACACTCCCTGACAAATCTCTGTCTAGGTTTTTACAGGATAGATGCCAGAGTCTTTTTAAACAGTGCTTTATCTCAGTAAGAACGTTTTCCCAAAAACCATAAATGGCCAAATGAACTTTTCATTAGAGACAGAAAACTAAAGAGTCTAATTTCAACCAGACTTGGTAGGCCTATGCTGTGGCCCTGATGCTGTAAACAGTTTTGTTATTAAGTGGTAATTGCATGGAACTCAGTAGGTAACTGAGGCATGTGAAACTCTATGTGCTCAAATATCTGCAGAATCAGGGCTTGAGAGTGAAGGAGTCTAATGAATCCCAGTCTCCTTTGTAACACCACTGCACGTTTTCATTCTCTCATTCTCAAGGTTGCAATCCAGCTGTTACTAGAGCAGCTTTAGAAAAGCAAACTGTAAATCAATGACAATATGCATAGCAGAATCCACACCTCTCCCAACTTACCCAACCATAAAAAAGCTTAAAACATCAAGAACAATAGAATTCCAGGGACAAAACAGGAGGCGAGGAAAAGAGAAGCAATAAATTGCAGATCTTATCATTTTGCCATGATTTTCACCCAACTCAGTCACCCTACCGTCTTATTATTCATTCAGAAATGCATTTCTATTTTTAAGGACTATAAGGACACAACTACTGCTACGCAGACTGATGTGCTACTGCCATTAAAGTCAGTTGCACAGCCGAAGTCAGAAGAAATGCCTTCTCTTTCCACCCTTCTCCTTACACATTTCAAAGAAACACGTACTTCAAACCACACTAGAGCCATACGACAGTGCTATTAATAAAGAATAGCATTTCAATAAAATTTTCGTTTCCCGAAAAGAGAAAACAAACCCCCCAACTAGAATCCAGCGCAACAGCAAGACCCAGGGTAGAAGAGCGAACACTCAAGTGTAATTTATGGGCTCTGCATCAACACTAACTCGGACATGTGGCACTGCCGACGTATTCCCTTGCACCAACAGTATGCACGCTGCATACTAATGGCCAGCACATCCAGAAAAACACAACAGGCACAGCCGCGCACCCCCGCACGCCTCCACTCGCGGGTCACATCTGCGCGCAGAGCGAGCCCCGAGTTTTGCGTTTCCAGGCCCGGAGGCTGCGGGAGCCCGCGGGGCCCGGCCGGGCCCCGCCGTGCAAACTTAGCGCG